AGATTGAGATTCAACAGTCTAGTGAGAATGATGATGCCAGCAATGACGTGGGGGATGTGGCCGATAGTCAACGCTCAGAGGACAGGCAAGACGCACATTTAATCAGACTGTTACTAATGCCATTGGTTTTGGAACTCTGCGCTGGCTGCTGAAGATGGAGACAGAGCACTCATGGGGATGCCCTAAGTGCTGTGACATTACTTCTTGAATCAACTCAACTCAACTCAGCACATGGGGAAATGCCGCCAGTACAATACAGTTTTTATTCATTGATCATCAAATGTTTTAACTCCTAGGCAGGCCTTGAGGATTCATTATCATTCCATATTTGCCCTTCTTGTGTTTCTCTGTTTAATTTTACATATGTCTTTACTTGCTATGAGGTCCACAAAACCTGATACTGTAATCGATCATGCATATCTTTAGAGGCGACCGATGACGACTGGTATGAGGGAAACTACCTCATCAAATGGAGAACTGCAATACCAAACCAAATATGATGAAGTCTATAGAGGTCTTTATGTAAATTTGTTTATACAGTTGGCTGCCTCTGTGTACCCCTGATTTGCTACAATAATCAGAAAATTCATAAACACAACAGAGCTGTCAACACTGCAACACTAAAATAGCAACTACAATTTTATGTTCATATCTTCTTCTTCTTTATGTCCCCTTTTACCGCTTCAGGTGGCGAGGAAGACATAAAGTCCTGCTCCATGCTCTTCTGTCTGTTGTAGAGTTTCTCTGTTGTTATCCTCCCATATTGTTCTTGGTGTACCTTTTGCTCCATGTCCCTCTCCTCTTTTGGTATATGCCTTGTATAGCATCAGAAGGCATTCTTTCAAAGACGGCAAACCATTTGATTTGTGTCTTTGTATTTATTTAGTTAATGGCTCTGTGCTGACTTTATCTCATATGACCTCATTCCCGATTTTATCTCTTCTGGTCACTCCTACAGTCTTCCTTATACACCTCTTTCATGGTTACTAATTTTCTTTTAAGTTTTGCTGTCAGTGACTATGTCTGGAACTGACAGCGTAGGGTGAGAATGAATATGCTTTGCATGAGATGTTTCTTTGTGCTGATTGGGATTGCCTTATGGTGTACTCATCAAGTCCAAGTCCAAGTCCTTTTGAGAAAAAAAAAGAAAAGCTCGACCACGTTCAGACTACTGCTAGCTAGCCTAGGCTGCTAACAGTCTCCGCCTATATTTGTGGTCTGGGTTATTTGCGTCACTTTCGTGACTGAATACTGGTGTTTGTGCCATTTCTGGCTTAATGCTTCCATCCGAATCAAACCGCTCGTCCTGTTGTCACTGGTGCATGTCTTCCTTCTTCATTCTTGGTGTTTCCTGTTTGTTCTGTCTCCCTTTGATCTGGCTAGGCGTATCTCGAAGGAGAGCGAGCTTCCAAACACAACGACCTTTCGGCCACCATTTATTGTTTTAAAATTTTGAGTATTTTAATTTTGCCAAAAAGTACTGAAAACAGTTTTTGAATGTGAATAGTTCCGAAATGTGAAAATTTTTCGTGTGTGACCATAGTGGTCTTATAGTTGTCTTCCTGTAATTATGAACGGGTTAGTCATGTAATGGATATGTGTGTGAGAGTTTGTGTGGAGTCTTAAGCGGGTCCAGTCGTCATTTGTTATTATGTGATCGGGTTGTGTTGATAGCTAAGCTCCGGTGTACGTAAATACCATATAACCGGACCGTCCAGCTCACGCTTTGAGATCCAAATGATCGGCGATAAGAATTGTTGTGGCATGTTGGGCAACGAACTCAAGTGCTCTCTGTGGGAATGGGTTGGGGGGTTAAACTCATAGTGCATCCAAAAGAGTTAGGGAAAGGTGGGGGGAAGGGGAGCGGGAGTCCATTCAGTCAATTCTCGCCGTTGCCGTCTTGCTGGATTCTAGCGTGGCTTTTTGCCGGGACTATGTGTATCACGTTACCAACCTTTGCTATCATCCTAGTGATGGGGTGGTATTGGAGGTTATGCGTTCTAGTCCTGTCGTGTACTCATCAACACTTATAAATCTTTTATAACCTAAAATTGTAAAGCTATAGATTTATTTAAATCACCATTGGTTATAAATTCGAAAAGACATACCAACACATGCAAATCCTCATCAAGAAGATGTCGATGCTCATGCCAGACTGGTTTTCCGGTAACTAATTCATACAAGAGACATCCTAATCCCCAAACATCGTTCACCTGTCCCACCATGTCCTCAGCCCTCAGCTAAAGAAGAGTCAAACATATCAGTTTAACACCTCCCCATGGGTTCCAGCATCCTCATTGTGGAGGGGGGAGGGGGCAAATAATAGAGCCACTAATTAGGAGTATTTCCTTTAACACTGTGTAGTGTATCTGCCTGAGAGATGAGGTATTTCCTTTAACACTGTATAGTGCATCTGCCTGAGAGATGAGGTATTTCCTTTAACACTGTGTAGTGTATCTGCCTGAGAGATGAGGTATTTCCTTTAACACTGTGTAGTGCATCTGCCTGAGAGATGAGGTATTTCCTTTAACACTGTATAGTGCATCTGCCTGAGAGATGAGGTATTTCCTTTAACACTGTATAGTGCATCTGCCTGAGAGGTGAGGTATTTCCTTCAACACTGTGTAGTGTATCTGCCTGAGAGATGAGGTATTTCCTTTAACACTGTATAGTGCATCTGCCTGAGAGATGAGGTATTTCCTTCAACACTGTGAAGTGCATCTGCCTGAGAGATGAGGTATTTCCTTTAACACTGTGTAGTGCATCTGCCTGAGAGATGAGGTATTTCCTTTAACACTGTATAGTGCATCTGCCTGAGAGATGAGGTATTTCCTTTAACACTGTATAGTGCATCTGCCTGAGAGGTGAGGTATTTCCTTTAACACTGTATAGTGCATCTGTCTGAGAGATGAGGTATTTCCTTCAACACTGTATAGTGCATCTGCCTGAGAGATGAGGTATTTCCTTTAACACTGTATAGTGCATCTGCCTGAGAGGTGAGGTATTTCCTTTAACACTGTATAGTGCATCTGCCTGAGAGATGAGGTATTTCCTTTAACACTGTGTAGTGCATCTGCCTTAGAGATGAGGTATTTCCTTTAACACTGTATAGTGCATCTGCCTGAGAGATGAGGTATTTCCTTTAACACTGTATAGTGCATCTGCCTGAGAGGTGAGGTATTTTTTTTAACACTGTATAGTGCATCTGCCAGAGAGGTGAGGCACCAACAGTCTGCACATAGATAAGCCAGATCTGTAGAATGGATGTGCGTGTAAAACTCAAGCACTGGAACAAAACAGAGTCCAGAAGTGGAGGAACAACCAGAATTTTTGGCAGGAGTCTGCTGCCGGTGAATGCGTAGAAGCAGAAGTTTAACATCATGAAAGAACACGTGTATAAGACCTGACTGGTGGTTGAGGCTACAGAATGCCCTGGGCAGACATGCTGACCAACATTGCCCAGCATGTGCAATAAGACAAAGAAGAACAGCTTTGACCATCCTCCATACTTGTAATGGAAATCACTAAATGACTTCTTGTCTTGAGGGTTAAGGGTTACAGTTCAATTACTAGTTCATCATCATCATCAGGTGCCTTGCCGACTGGCGTGCGCGATCATGCCTCTCCATAATCCGCGATCTCCTGCAGCATGTATCAGTTCGTGTGCCGACACACCTCCATGCCATGCAACAAGACTGTCAAGCATCTTCTCTCGTTGTCTTCCTCTATCCCTCCTTCCACAGATCTTTCCAGTGGTCACAACATTTTCTATTTTCCCTCTTCTCATAACATGGCCGAAAAATGATGACTGTCTCCTTCTGATGTCAGTGATAAGTTGTCTTCGGGCTCCCGCCTCTTTCAAAACCTCTTGGTTGCTCTTTTTGGCTGTCCAAGGTATTCTAAGCATTCTTCTGTAAAACCACATCTCTAAGGCCTCTAAAACTTGTTGTTTGGCCTGCCTACCGATTGTCCAGGATTCACATCCATATGTTAAAACTGGATGTATGTAGCAAACATACTAGTTAACAAGCATAAAACAGACAGTTTTTTTTTTCGACCTTAAATATTAGATGATAACGAATGTTGAGAATGTGTATTTTCTTCTTCTTCTTCTTCTTCTTCTCGTTCACCGGCTGTTAACTCCAGCAAAAAGTTCTGGTTGTTCGTCCACTTCTGAACTGCAGTCCTGTTTCAGAACCTGAGTGTTGCGTGTGCATCCCTTTGACAGATCTGTATGCAGACTGTTGGTTCCTTGCCTCTCAGGCAAATGCACTCCGACTTCGAAGGAAGCTCCCAATTAGTTGACTCTTACCACATGCTTTTGGGTAGGCAGTGGGTCTATTCTTGTTTTTCCCATAGTAGGGCCCCGGAACCCACACGGGGAAGAGAATGTGTATCTGAACTCTGAAAGGATGTGGATCCATGTGCATAATGTCCTTATTCTGTTCCTTACTAATTCTATTGGCTGCTGCCCGGAGGCATTTATTCTGTCTACTTCTGTTCTAGGCAATGAGAGAGCTGTCTGTTCACTGCTACAGTCATGGTTGGTGAACAATGGTTTCTCAAACTCACGTTAGGTAGGATTCTAGACAGCTGAAATGGAGTTAACATTCATGGTGCTAGAGCATAGGACTACATTTCTTGGCTTGAAGTGATTTTCTGCACATTTGTGTGCTCCTGTACTAAAGTCAGGAATCAGGTTCACTGCAGAGGATGCCCCATCTGATAAGGAGTATTGAGAATGTGTCAGTGAACTCTGAAAGGCTGCTTGACCCATTTGCATCATGTCCTGATTCTGTTCTATATCCATTACTTCTGTACACGTCCCTCACCTGTTGCTCTTTTTCTGATCCGATGAGAAATGAGGGATGTTCATTGACACACATGAAATATGAAGCTTCAGTGGTATAATAAAAATGTGAATTCATAATTTCAGACTTTAGAATAACTACTTAGCCTTCTACCTTCACTCAGCAGAATAACGTAAAGACATACTGTACCTCAGGGGGCATGATAGCAGGAGGCAGGGTTAGATATAGAGAGTGGCCATCATAGCTGTCCAGGAACACGGAGCAAGAGAAGTTCGACAGTTTCACACAAAATGACTCTCCTGCCTGGCAACTGATAAGAATGTTTTTACCTGTGGAGATTACAGGATGAAAAACTATAAAAATAAAAAAAATTACCTTGGAGTCTTACCATCATTTACCTGTCAATATCATTTCCATACATGTATCTGTATTTATCTGTGTTCATCATCCATGTACCTGTCTATATCTGTATTCATTCATCCATTTATCTGTCTACATCTGTATTATATACATCCATGCACCTGTCTATATCTGTATTCATTCATCCATTTATCTGTCTACATCTGTATTATATACATCCATGCACCTGTCTATATCTGTATTCATTCATCCATTTATCTGTCTACATCTGTATTATATACATCCATGTACCTATCTATATCTGTATTAATTCATCCATTTATCTGTCTACATCTGTATTATATACATCCATGTACCTGTCTATATCTGTATTCATTCATTCATTTATCTGTCTACATCTGTATTATATACATCCATGTACCTGTCTATATCTGTATTATATACATCCATGCACCTGTCTATATCTGTATTCATTCATCCATTTATCTGTCTACATCTGTATTATATACATCCATGTACCTGTCTATATCTGTATTCATTCATCCATTTATCTGTCTACATCTGTATTATATACATCCATGTACCTGTCTATATCTGTATTCATTCATCCATTTATCTGTCTACATCTGTATTATATACATCCATGCACCTGTCTATATCTGTATTCATTCATCCATTTATCTGTCTACATCTGTATTATATACATCCATGTACCTGTCTACATCTGTATTATATACATCCATGTACCTGTCTACATCTGTATTATATACATCCATGTACCTGTCTACATCTGTATTATATACATCCATGTACCTGTCTACATCTGTATTATATACATCCATGTACCTGTCTACATCTGTATTATATACATCCATGTATCTGTCTACATCTGTATTATATACATCCATGCACCTGTCTACATCTGTATTATATACATCCATGCACCTGTCTACATCTGTATTATATACATCCATGTACCTGTCTACATCTGTATTATATACATCCATGCACCTGTCTACATCTGTATTATAAACATCCATGTACCTGTCTACATCTGTATTATATACATCCATGTACCTGTCTACATCTGTATTATATACATCCATGTACCTGTCTACATCTGTATTATATACATCCATGTACCTGTCTACATCTGTATTATATACATCCATGTACCTGTCTACATCTGTATTATATACATCCATGTACCTGTCTACATCTGTATTATATACATCCATGTACCTGTCTATATCTGTATTCATTCATCTATTTATCTGTCTACATCTGTATTATATACATCCATGCACCTGTCTATATCTGTATTCATTCATCCATTTATCTGTCTACATCTATATTATATACATCCATGCACCTGTCTATATCTGTATTCATTCATCCATTTATCTGTCTACATCTGTATTATATACATCCATGCACCTGTCTATATCTGTATTCATTCATCCATTTATCTGTCTACATCTATGTTCATAAATACCTCTACCTGTCCATATCTGAGTTAATACATTAATTTTCAAGTCAATATATGTGTAAATACATTCATTTACTTGTATAATACCATTACTATTATCATTTTATGGACAGACCAGAGCAAGTTATTATCCCACGCCTTAGAAAAGGACACAATCAACTTCGCAGCCACATGTACACAAAATTGAAAATCGGCGAATCAGCCATGTGCACATTTGGATAAGCACCTAAGACAACAGATCATGTCCTCCAAGACTGTCACAAATACAACATTTCAAGGCAAAACTTTTGACCAAGAGAAATATTGGTGCAAGTCAAACTTTACGGGTCGCTGAGTGAATTACAAAAGACAGTGAAGTTCATACTAGAGACAACACTGCAGATTTAGATAATTTATTTCAAGTAAACGAAAGAAGAAGAACCTGTCTATTTATGTGTTCATACAACCATTTCCCTTTCTATACCTGTGTTCTCACATTCCATTACTGTCCTGTATCTGAGTTCATACATCCATTGTAAAAGCTTTCAGCTTAATATCCAGTTTCATCAAAACCCTAGGTAACTCTAACAACATGCTTGTGTATTTCTCCCCCTCCCTCTACCCCTCAAAGTGAGGTCCCAGGTCCGATACAAAGACAGTGTACATATAACATTGATAATTATTATAATCAGGGTGTTTTTCTAGAAAAAGTGCCGGTATTCACCAAAGGTTGCCGAAAAGAGGTACAAATAATCATCTAGGACACATATGACCACAATGTTCAAGGTGCTAGCCTTACTCATCCAGTAAAGGTAGACAATGCTCAGACTGTGGAGATGGTGGACAGCAGAAATCATTTGCTGCAGGATGTGACACACTGTGGTCAGTCCCAGCTGCTGCGGGGAAGCCTTGTGTAGACAGTCATGAAGAGATAAATCTGCAAGACCAATTAAATTTAAAAAAATCACACACATTTAACTTGTTCATGTGTTATCAGAGCACACCGAAGTTATGGTCCATTTAACAAGACAATAAGTATCTTATGCGATAAGTCATTTTTAATCAATGTATGAAGGTTTTTTTTTTTCAACATAAAAAAAAAAAAGTGCCAATACTCACTACATCCACACGATGTCTAAGAAAAGGTGTCCGTACACAACACAACACAGTCTATTAAAGTAGGACCCTTTTCCACGCCTTCAAGCGTATTGGCCATATCGGGCTAGACCTACATTTTATAGACCAAAGGGCATTTGGTGGGTGATGTGGTCAGCACTGTGCCGATGATCTTTACTTCCCATGACTGTCACTGGTACCCACTCAAGGCTGGGTCGATCTGTGAGTCAAGGTCATTTTTGAAAGGAAAACAAAAGTCCGGCTCCGTCAGGACTCGAACCCACGATCTTCCGATCTGCAGGCGAGCGTCTCTATTACTGTAGTGCTTACAAAAAGAATGCCTTAAAAACAGGTGCAGGTACTGCATACTCGCCCCCCCCCCCCACCCTAATAAAAGCCTTGAACGTATGAAGCACTAAAATATTATGTTGAACTTGTTCTATTGTAGAGTCTCCTTCTTCTACATTTGACCTTGAAATGCTTGGTTATGTTTTACAGATCTTCTTCAAGTCCATGCCGTGTGGCGTTGGTAGTCATGTCTACCCACAACCTTCTATCTCGTGTACTTTCAATCAACTTTGACCCAGATGATCCTCCATGCCATGATGTCAAACTGTCCAGCTTCTTTTCTCTTGGTCTCCCTCTGCCTCCCTTTACTCCAACTTGCCTACCGTCACAATTGACTCCAGTTTTCTCCTCATCACATGACTAAAGAATATAGATTGTCTCTTTCTGATGTGGGCAATCCGTTCTCTTCGTGGGTTAGTTTCTTTCAAGATTTATTCGCTACTCTTTTTATCTGTCCAGTGTATTCTTATCATTCGTCTAAAAAAGCACATCCCTGAAGCTTCCAAATAGGTTTTCACTAATTTACTAACTGTCCATGATTCACATCCGTATATCAATATAGGATTTATATAACTTTTAAGAATTCTCTTTCTCAGCTCAATTGACAAAGAAAAATTGCAAAAAATATTCTTCATTTTGTTTACAGTTAGTAACCAAAATCTACGCCCTTTATACAGTTTCAACAAACCCATTATCAGTCACCTTGAATGATGTACTTGTTGACAGGGAAGGTGGATGCTGAAGTGTGATTCAACAATTTAGAATGAGCTTGTAGGTAGCAGAGATAAGGTTTCTGTTACCACTTTTGTCAGAGTATCTAGGACATACAGAGCATTGGTTCCGGATCCTGGAGCTGAAGTCCCTTGAGTCCTATCCCTCAAAAATACAGACAAGAGCAAACGGAAGACAAAGAGATAATGATCTGAATGGCTTAGCTGTATGGGGTGGGGAGGGGGGGGGGACGAGATAAGATCACGGACATGATCCATGATTCTGGTGATCATGTAAGATGGTGAAACATGGCAGCCTTTACGTGACAGAACAGTATATGGCAATATCAAGACAAAAAGAGAATGAAATGAAAGCAAAGCCTCAGCCCAGATTTTACTCACTTTCAAACATATGGCAGACAAGCAAATGGTGCTCAAATCTGGCAGCCCACAACATGGTTGCAATGGATTTGTGGTTTACATCTCGCAAACGGCTGTAGAGATTCCAGTGATGCAAGTCTTCTGTTGCTGGTATCTGTTGGATTTGTAACGCATAATTCTAAATCATTGTTGTTCACTACTGAGGAGGGCTGGTCGAGTGGTTACTTTATTAGGCTCTCATTGCGGGCGACTCAAGTTTTAATCCTCAGTAAGAGTGTGATTGTTATTCTGTCAAGCAAATGGTGCTCAAATTTGGCAGCTCACAACGTCGTTGCAATGGATTTGTGGTTTATATCTCACAAACGACTGTGGCATTCAAGTGATGCAAAAATTCTGTCATTGGTATCTGTTGGATATGTAATCCATAATTGTAAATCAGTGTTGTTCACTATCAACGAGGGCTGGCCGAGTGGTTAGATCATCGAGTTCTCATGTGGGAGACCTGGATTCGACCCACGGTAAGGTGATAGAGTTTTCTGTCGGGGCAAAATTTAACAACCTAACCTGCACATTTCATGGCAACAGACAGCACTAGCTAGCCTTTGGGCTTTGAATCTTCAGGCTGTAAAACAGACAGTAGTGACAGTTTTTTTCAGTGGTGACAAAACTAGCCATGCAACCATAAATCTTCAGGCTGTAAAACAGACAGTAGTGACAGTTTTTTTCAGTGGTGACAAAACTAGCCATGCAACCATAAATCTTCAGGCTGTAAAACAGACAGTAGTGACAGTTTTTTTCAGTGGTGACAACACTAGCCATGCGACCATGAATCGTCAGGCTGTAAAACAGACAGTATTGACAGTTTTTTTCAGTGGTGACAAAACTAGCCATGCAACCATAAATCTTCAGGCTGTAAAACAGACAGTAGTGACAGTTTTTTTCAGTGGTGACAACACTAGCCATGCGATCATGATTACTCAGGCTCAAAGGACCCCAACCGCCCACCGATGACCTCACCGCAAATGTGGTGTATACAGAGGGTAATGGCGGTTATTCACTACAACTGTTCAACACTAAAGTCATCATCATCATCATCATCCTTAAAACTATTTCAACCATCATCATCATCATCCTTAAAACTATTTCAACCATCATCATCACCATCATCCTTAAAACTATTTCAACCATCATCATCATCATCATCATCCTTAACACTATTTCAACCATCATGATCATCATCATTATCCTTAACACTATTTCAACCATCATCATCATCATCATCATCCTTAACACTATTTCAACCATCATCATCATCCTTAACACAATTTCAACAATCATCATCATCATCATAGCAAAACCATCTTTATCATTCCAGCTTTGGATTTCCATTTCAACACTGACCAGAGGAAGTGTGTCTAGCTTCAACTGTGGCTTCAAGCCATGGGGAAAATACACCCTAGCAAACAAACATCTGACTGCCTTGCAGTTGGCATGAAAGATGGCAAGACTATGGGATACACTAAACTTAGACGAAATGTGCAACCTGGTCTTCCAAGGACAGAGTGTGTGAGCTACCCAGCAGATATAACAATCTCTTTCTTCTACTCAACAGACATAAACATCTCTTTCTTTTCTACCCAGCAGATATAAACATCTCTTTCTTCTACCCAGCAGATATAAATCTTTCTTCTACCTAGCAGATATAAACATCTCTTTCTTCTACCCAGCAGATATAAATATCTCTTTTTTCTACCCAGCAGATATAAACACCTCTTTCTTCTACCAAACATATAAACATCTATTTCTTCTACCAAGCATATATAAACATCTATTTCTTCTACCCAGCAGATATAAACATCTCTTTCTTCTACCCAGCAGACGTAAACATCTCTTTCTTCTACCATTTATTTCACTGAAGGTAATCAAGACAAGAGATCCTAGCTTCTGCCTGATTTTCAGGTCTTTTTTATTTATACAATTAATTTCTGTCAAGACATCTTCATTATATTGTACATATCTACATGTATATCTATTTCTATAACCACTGTTTCTGCTTTATATTTAAGGAGAGTAAATAGTATTATCATTACTCTTCTATAAAACCTCATCAGAAGATCATATTCCCACTCTTCTGCAGATGTATTAGTATTACTGTAACATTTCCATAGTTGAATAAACCAAAGTGCTTAATAGGTTATATGGTCAATATGACACCTTTACTTCCCAGGAAATGTCCCGGTATCTATTTTGTGTCAATCCGACCTAGGAGTCTAGGTCAATTTCAAGAAGATTTCTACTTCAAGTTGATTTAAGTACATGACCAAAGGAACAGCAGGTAAGCATGTTCTCCGACACATTGCCACAGTTCCATATTCTGAATCAGTAATGTGTTTTTAAAAAAATAATTTATATTAAACAAAATTAAATATTTATAATTTATTTTTTATTTTATATTAGAATAAATTATTTATAATAACTTAACTGATATTAATAAACACATATATTTACAAACAAATAAAACATATCCTTAATTACTACTACACAAATGTGGCATAGAAAGCTCACCTTTTTAATGACCCAGTATTTGTATACTGAGAGGTCAGATCTTGTAGGTGATGCCAGAATGGTCTTTCTTGAGCTGTTCAGCATACACATCCTCTCCCAGTGTTTCTCCTCCAAAGGGAGTGTATCCAAAGGAAATGTTTCATTTAGCTGCAGAAAAAATAATAATAAACTTACCACTGTCTTAATATTTGTCTCATTGAATGAAGCATATGACAATAGAAAACATGTTAAAGAGAGTCTTAGAAAACTGCAAAATAAGATTAAGCAATATGTCACAAGAATAAAAAAAAAAGTTCTATGAAGCCAGCATCTTGCTTTAATGGCACCACACACTAATGTTATCAACTTTGTTAGCACTAGTCTCCATCTGAAGTCTTTAAAATAATCCACTGTTTGTTATGATACTATATGGAACTCCATGTTGATACAGTCCAATTAGAAAAATATGATCCAAAGACGTGAATATACTGTCAATATAAGAACAAAACAATGATACTATATGGAACTGAACACAATGTAAATGAAAAGACCAATTAAAGAAATAAAAAAAATCACATACTGAGTCCGGAGAAGTGAATTTACAGATGACACATAGTGTCACCAAAGGTCACACCGTGGAGAGGTCAGGAAGCGTTCAAAAGCCATTTTTATCAAACATAAGGTCCTGCAAAAGCCAGGGTTTGAATGAAAAGACTTATCCTAAAAAGAAATACCTGTGTCAGGTAAAAAGAATCACATGAAATATTTGAGCTATTTTTAAAGACACAGCACTTTTAAAAAAAAAAAAAAAACACTAGAGGGAAAAGCTGAAAGCAAGCAAGCAAGCAAAAGACAGACAGCAATATAAGTTGGAGGATAATATAAAGAGAGGATGAACACAGCCTGAGAGTGTGGCAGAGACGGAGCATTTTTTTAAATGCAGCCTTCCTTGTTAAGATGGCACCTAATTGACTGGATACAGCTAATGTATGGGATACAACACAAATACCTACTTTCATAAATTCCTTACAAGGAAGGTTCGACAAGCTGCAGTATTCAGCATAATTTTCAATTCGATGCATAATTAACTTGATTCCCTCTTCTGATGACAGGCATCTGGACAGAAGACATTGTACATTATATTAAGTAATTTATTTTATAATATGACAGCAAAGAAGTAGTAGCAGCATTTACATAAATAATATCATATTCAACGCTCAGGGTAATATATACTGTGTCTATTGAATTTCCAATGTATACTTTTTGTAAACATATATCCTATGATTTATAGATTGTATTTTTTTTTTATTATTTGAAACGCATGCACGCACACACACACACATGCAAAAAAACCATCAACAACACATAGTTACCAAAATTAACATACACAGTCATAATTTTGACATTCAAAATCTGTGTAGTTCAATGAGTGAAATTGTTCAAGGGTTCAACCAATGAATTCACATTTCTTTTGCATCTGGATCATTGATATGTTTTAGGTGTATTGGCTTTTCTATTAGTTTGGTGTATGACCTCCTCTGGCACTGATCAGTGACTGGCATCTCCTGGGCATGGATGTCAGACATCTGTGGGCACGTGGGATGGATGTCAGACATCTGTAAGTTTGAGGATGTATCTGTGGGCTGTCAGACATCTGTGAGCATGTGGGATGGATGTCAGACATCTTGGGGCATGTGGGATGGACCTCAGACATCTGGCATGTGGGATGATGTCATCCTGTGGGCACGTGGGATGGATGTCAGACATCTGTGGGCACGTGGGATGGATGTCAGACATCTGTGGGCACGTGATGGAGCATCGTGTGGATCATGTGGGATGGATGTCAGACATCTGTGATCACGTGGGATGGATGTCAGACATCTGCGAGCACGTGGGATGGATGTCAGACATCTGTGGGCATGTGGGATGGATGTCAGACATCTGTGGGCATGTGGGATGGATGTCAGACATCTGTGGGCACGTGGGATGGATGTCAGACATCTGTGGGCATGTGGGATGGATATCAGACATCTGTGGGCACGTGATGGATGTCAGACATCTGTGATCATGTGGGATGGATGTCAGACATCTGTGATCACGTGGGATGGATGTCAGACATCTGTGGGCATGTGGGATGGATGTCAGACATCTGTGGGCACGTGATGGATGTCAGACATCTGTGATCACGTGGGATGGATGTCCACTGCATCTGGAGTGCCTAAAATAGATCACAACGATTGGCTGAAGCAATATCTCAGTGACAAACAAATCTATGCAGCTCATCCCACAGGTGATCAATGGGACTCATGCAGACAGGGCTGGTCAGGAAAGGTGGAGAAAGTTGTTGGCAGTCAGGAACTTAACCGTGCAGAAATGGGGGTCAGACACTGTCATTTTCAAAAACAGACGTTTCAGCAACCCAAAAGAGAAGGAAATGGGGTCGAAACTTTCACTAGCATATCATTGTGCATTTCAAACATCTTTCAATGTGCACCAGTTGACTCCTTTCAGAGTAACTGATCATTCCTCTCA